GCTGTAGCGATTATTTTGTCCAGGTTTTGTTTATGTCACGTACTACCGTATTTTATAAAGCGAAACCAAAGGCCCACATCACATACATAGCTTAAGAAGCAGTTGCTTCATAAAGAAGTCAGCATTCAACGTCGCAGGAAACCTTGTTATGGTCGTGAAATTCACGTTCCAAAGCGTATTTGGTAATTCTCTCCAAAATCCAAAGACACTTCAGCGCGCGAGGTCGCGAGGAGTCACTCGAGCTGTATTCTATCCTTTGATCTGATTGGCCTACATCAAAACAAAAGGTTTTACGTCACGGAAATCGTTTTGTCGCTCGGGTTCGCAGACGCTATTTTTCGGAGGGAGAGAAGCGACGACCGGAAATGCGTCTGCACTTCGCAGGCTAGATTTGACCGAAATGTCGGCGAACGTTTCTCTTCGCCTTTCGCGCGTTTCTTATCTGTAGCCTACCCAAAATATTTTTGCTAAAACGAGGTTTCGTAATATCGCGATACTTATTCATAGATTTTCTACATACTGGGGCAAAGAATATTATACGGCATACATATAATGCCGAGGATCTCGTCATACAGAGGTTCGTGAAATCGACGTTCCACTGTATTTCACTTATGCCTGCACTCTGGGGCAGTATTTTTTAATTTTTTCAATCAAAACGTAATGCAAATAAAACAGGGCAAAAACAATTATTAGTGTTACGGAAACAGTGAGGTGCAAGTTGTTAGTGCTTTGACTCAAACTTCACGAGTGGTCCTTTTTGTTGTATTCTGCATTCACGGGTGTGAATTAATACCTTCTTCCTATAACTAATACATTTTAGCATTTACATTTTACAGAGATGAATAAAGTTGTTAATTTCTTCAACAGTTTAGTGTAAAATTGTAAATTAATTAAAGGTTGCCTTGATGCGGGTTCCTTCCTTTTGTTCATGGCGAAATCATGAATAAAGATAAACTTCCAGCATGCAAAAAGATAACTACCCACGTGACTACCACGTGGAAAAGTGGTCACGCAACATTGAACTATGAAAAATGGTCAGCGGAATTCCCATTTACAGTAAGCACGGCGCATTGCATAATGAGTTTTGCTGCTAAAAATGGCGTCGGAATTCAACAACGATCGATCAGGGATGTTATCGGTTACGAGAAAAGGTTTAAGTTTTTGCCCAAAACACTTCGTAGAATCAGTAACACAGACAAGACAAGGCAACAATTATATTTCTTTTAGAAGGTAAATGTATATAAATATTTTTCAATTTGTTTTGCCCCGCAGCAACCATCACCCGTAACACCGACTGAGCTCGGCTGCTAATGACAGCCCTGAATACACTACCCTAGAGGGTTTCAAATTAGACATGTTTTAACACTACGCAAATTTGTGATGTGTTGTCACGCAAAAAAATGCTCTCGTAGCGCGCGATGAGACGCTACTGGCAACTTACTTTTCAGCGGTACTGTAAAAGACATTCACCTACATATAAAAGCGGTTTTGCCCACACTTCCTAGCCAACGGCTACTATTTCCTTACAAGTCAAGGGAGCACACATCAGAAGCTTTCTTTTGGACACACAATACTGATCCTGATCAAAATAATTGCCAGCATTATTACATGCGCAAGTAGCGGGGGACCGAAACCTAAAATATTTAGTGAAAAATCAATCTGGTCTGTGCACATAATTCTCATACCATAGTGAATAATTCTGTTATAAATGATACGTCTTGCATGAAATAGGTACTGATTTCAAAATAATTTTCTTATATTTTCGTCTACTAAGCCTTTTTCTCATTTTTCAGATGAGCATCCTTACAGGTACCCTGGATGGTTCCCTGTCCCTTTTGACCTGTTTGACCCTTTGATCGTTTAATAAGTTCTTCTTAGGAATCACATGAACATACACCACATTTTTATCATGATAAGCTTACTTCCATCTACACTTTGATTCAACACACCTTTCACAGTCTCTTGTTCAATAAATGGTGAAGTCGTTTGACAAGCATGTGTTCCTTTTAACTTCCATCTACACTTTGATTCACCACACCTTTCACAGTCTCTTGTTCAATAAATGGTGAAGTCGTTTGACAAGCATGTGCTCCTTGTAATATGGCCGCTTCCTGGCTACATGTATCAATAGCCGGCTCAATTACCAGATTTTTGGAATCCAATGCAATCGAACGAATACCAACTAGCTCCAGAAAAAAATTATGTGTTCCTTCTTCTTTTGATATATCACTACAAAAATCTTCATTATTATACTGTAAACGGGTTTACATCAAACGTATCTAGGCTGTGACTTTTAGAAGTACTAAAGCATTAGGTGTTGATAAGTTCATTGAGGATCTAGCCTGTGCTCCATGGAATACCATGGACACCTTTGACACACTGGATGATAAATACGATTTTTGGAAATCTCTATTTGACACCGTTGTTGAAAAGCATAATTGCCCACTAAAACAATGAGATTTAGGAAATCGGACGTCCCATATATGACATCTGGTTGGAAAAATGCAATTAAACTTAAAAGAAAATACGCCAAGCAATATGCAAACAACAGAACAAATGAAAACTGGGAATTAAAGAGAAGGTGGAGGAACATTGCTACAAAATACAGACGACAAGTTATCCAGGAATACTGGCAAAGGAAAACAGAAGATCTTAAAGCCTATCCCAGAGAATTTTACAAAACCTTCAGACCTTTCCTTGAACAAGAAGCAGATTACAGGTACCTGCATGGTTACCTGCATACGCGAAACGATAGGTTTTGAAATTAAGGAAAACGTAACCCCCCAGGGCCTCGAGAGTAGAATACTGAGGTCTGCGAATGTTAAATATCGCCATATTTTACCTTTTGTTTAATAAAATGTATAAAGAAGACCTACCTTTCATGTACTACTGTGTTTTTTGGTGAGGATTCATCGATTTAGTCTACTTTTTGGCTTTACAAGTTCCGTAACCCTCGAAACTCCGTCTTACCGTATTCACCGATTAAGTGCCCATCTCGAATAACCGCCCACCCTATAAGCTTAATAAGCCTATAGAATGTAACAAAATTTACCTTACTGAGAACTGACTGACAATGAGATTGAAACAGACTAAGTTCTACACTTTCTGATTGACAGTTAAAATTCTACTTTGGAACATCTTCACGTTTTGTTGCAAAGTAAAACTACTATAAGCGCCCACCGCTTTCCCTCGACCCACTGTCAAGGTCCAAAACTTTAAGTAGGTCCAGGGCGCTTAATCGAAGAAATACGGCATTAGCCTGGGTTGCAGGCGCCACGCAGGCCAAATACGCGTGTTGCATGCGAAATTTGAATCTGAACCGTGAAAAAATTGTTAGTTCAACTATTATATAGCGAAAATTCTGAAGATAACGGAAACATCGAGCCATTTCTCATCGTCTTTGCTCAGTAAAATCTTTCAGTTTAGTTATTTCGACTGCCCGTCATAATGTAAGAAACGATGACTGGAACACAACATCTGAGCCATCATCGCTTCATACTCCTCTGTGGCACGCCATTTATATCATAACCGAATTTTCGAATACGTGCCTCAAAAAGGCCCAGAATATTCGCACTGGAACAGGAAAAGGGATTTAAAGTTATAAAATATGAAACTTTTAAAGAGTTTCGAATGACTTACATACTAACACTGAAGGAAAATTCTTTCAACAACCGCTTTAGCACGCATAGAGTTAGTTTAGGGATGGTTTACCAATCAACATTCTTGTTGCATTTTGACAGAAGATGGAACTACTCGATAAGGCACGCGGGAAAACAACAAAAATGACGTTAAATCGACAATCTTGTCTCAGGGGCGCCAACCTCGCTCCCAGGTTATCTCGGACGGGTAGGAGAGAACCCGAGGTTGCGGGGGCGCCTGGCTTTATTCTCAAATCTTGACCAAAAAAGCGACGGGCTCTGGGAACGAGAAAGCTAAGGAGAACTTGTGCCCATGCGCAGTAACGAAACCGGCGCCACGACGACAGCCTGCCGGCTCAGTTTTCGTAAGTGTGCGACCTCTAAAATGAGACGCTCTACAGACGTTTTCATCCTCCGTCTTGGACGAATTAAATTCACTTCATACGCCGCAGAATCGTCGATTTTTGTTACATCGGAAGCTTTGAATTAAATTCGACGATTGCGCTATAAATTGAAAACCGCTCATGGTACAGCCACCAAAATTAGGCGGAATGGTGTATTGATCATTTCTAATAGTTAGGCAAAACATGATTGACACAATTATGACAATTGACGTCATTATGAAGCATTTATTGGCAGAACCCAAATCCCCCTCAAGGAAGCCACCATAAAGCGAAAAATGGTTATTAATAAATAGTAAAGTGTCTGATAAAATCAAGTAGTTGGCTGACACATTATAAGTCTATATAGCAGTGATGTCGTGATGACGTCATTAAAGAAGGAACTGGAAGCATTCGCCGTCTTTGATCCGCCACTTTAAATTACGTGAATGTATTCCACTTTATAAAAACGTTAAAAATCGAGATAATGGTGATCAAAAATTTTGATCTGTGTTTAAAAGGATGCTTAAGTTATGAAACTTTCAGAGCAAAGAACTTTGTTGAGGATCAGTCCTGCGACAATTAGCATTTGTGAAATCTTTCCCGCTAAATTGCATATGTTGTAGTTCAATTTCATGGTGCTTGGTTGAAGGTTTATTGTCCCAGTTTGTTTTGGGGAATATTTTTCAAATATCGTACGACTTGACTTATTGCTTTGTGGAAGTTTTCTTTTTGTGCAGTGTCCATAACACGAAGGTCCAGCCCGGGGGTGGGGGTGCGCCCCCCGGTCTAGCCGGTCGAATAAACAACCGTCCTTAACTTTCCACTGTGAAGTGGGCCAATGACTCAGCTAGTTCCAGGCTTGTTTCCTGATATTTTCTGTGTAGGTAAATGGGTGGATATGTTATTGATAAGGTTAATATAACTCGAAAAACGTTAAACAAGCATGTGCAGTGTATATATATGGCTTAATACAAGAAGGCTTCTGTCATATCAAAAACTATTTTAAAAAAAAACAACAATCACATTGCTGACAGTACTAAGGCCAGTGCGAGGATTTGAGTAGCCCAACAGCGAGTATGCATAAAAAACAATAGTAAATCCAAGTCGGGACTTTTAGCAAAATACAGTTTCTGAGATTTGATTGTATCTTATCTTTCTCCTCAGGAACCGCCGGTGTAGGTCGGTATTGCTGAGTTTGAATTATTACCTGGACGTTAACAGTAAGGTTTTTACCATTCTTACCTAAAACCGTGAGTAATTTAGTTGACTTTGATAATCACTTCTGGGCTAAGTATGGGCGGACAAAATAATTGTTTAATTGTCTCATAGGCAGCTTAGGGACCAGTCATAAATTAGAGGGGAGTCAGAAGACGCAAATATAGAGAGGGCCTTAAATTTCATGTCAACGCAGAAAAGAGGGTTTCATGCAAAGTTTTTAGGGTTAGGGAATATAAATGAAATCGATCTTCTTAGGCTTAGAATGATGTCAACTTTCTGTAAATAATACTTAACACTTATATTATTGAATCTGATGAAGGTAGAGGAGAAAAAATGTTTTAACAGTCCATGATGTAACTTCTGGGTCCTTCTTTTCACATATACCCAAGACCTCTCCTAAGTTGCGTATAAACAACAACAACAAACATAAAAGGATAAGTACGGCATTGTCAAAAGAGAATAAAAACGTTATATCTTGTGACCAACTACAATAACTTAACAATTAGTTTCTGCAGTGGTGTAAATATGTGAAAAAACTTGACATTAACATTGTTTTCTAAAGTCGAGTCCTGAACTGGATTTTAAGATACACTCAGTCACTCTCATAGCCAGCACTTTTACCTTAGTTCCTCTCTTCCAAAAATCTTGTCACAAGGCCAATTCGTTTGTTGGAATTTTCCCCTAACAGGGCCTTGCAAATGGCAAGACGCATTTTGTTCAGTTCTTTACACGTTTATTGGCGGGCTTGTCATTTCTGTCTACAAAATTCACTTATAAAAAAGTTTTCTGTATTAGATTTTCTTAATAACGTTTACCGCTATTTAGGAGGTGTTCTTTAAAGTCTTTTATTCCCTCTTTAAATCAGTAAACAAGTGTTTGAAAAGTTAGTTCTCCAAAGTCTTAAGGCCTCTTCTTATACAACCCCTAAGGAGTTCACTCCCGGTGGGTGACATGAGGAAAACTCCGCGTATATATATTGAAAAGTTTCAGTGAGTTCGAAATGCGTGCGCAAATGAAGTGCTGGTGGGAGAAGTCTATTTTTTTCTATCTTTCGTCTTTGTATTTAGTAGTATCTAAGAACTTTGTTTCTGTTTCAGATATTTCATCTCGCGTAAATTCTTCAAGGCTGCAAAGTGGTATTTATTTGCTTCTCCTCAATAAACTTAGAAACATCTCCTCTAACTAAAGACATTCCATATTGAAACAATGTCATCTGTACATCATTTACAAATGAACGTAGCCATGAAGATGTTGGCAAAAGACGCAGACATTTTGGAACCTCTGAGTTTGCTATGGGTAGTTAGATAGTGTTATTTCCAAAAGGAAGGTTTTCCTCTCAGATTAACCTTACCACTCTCGTTTTATATATTGTAGTGGTGTATTTTGATATAGAAGGATGAATAAGACTTGCATGTTGTTTCAATCCCCTCCTCTAGTGGTATGCCATGTGTATAGGTTCATTGCGTCCATTGAAACACGCCTAGTATGGTATCTTATGTAAAGAGGCCTAGGGATTGGGCTGGTGGTGAAGGGGGGGGGGGGGGGATTATTTATTATTGGAAATTTTTTTGGGGGGATTAATTTTTTTATGTCACTAAAAAGGGGGGAAAAAACCAAAAAATAATCTTTAAAAAAAAATGAAAGTTCCTTCCCCTTCCTCATTTTTTACACGGGTCCTTTCATCCTTTTTTTCCCCAAACACGGTACTAGGGGGGGGGGGGGGGGGGGGGGGGGGGGGGGGGGGGGGGGGGGGGGCATGATAATTTATGGAAACTATTTTGGAGGGTCAACATTTTTACTGCACCTGAAAAGGGGAGGAACAGCCCAAAACATGCGCATCAAAATAATGCAACAGTCCTTCCCCTCCTCTAATTTATGACCGGTCCGTTAGCAACTTCTTTGCCGAAACAATGGTACGTTGCACTACTCGAAATCATCAACCAATGCAGACACTTTTTGCTCTTCCCGATGTCTTCGTCCAAGATCGAGAAGGTAGCAAAGTAACTTAAGTCCGTTAGCTTTTTCAAACTATTAATAGCAGTTTAAATGACGTGCAGCTAGTGCCGGCAATAGAGAGCTTGAAGGTTTTTGGGCCTCAAATTGAAATAAAAATTATTATTCTGCTTATAACTCAATACAGATGGACCATGTCGGCCATAATGCTTATTACTGGCTGGGCTCACCTCTTTTGTTCTGTGTTTCTCCCAATCTTGAGATCAACTTCTTGGCGTATGGCATTTTCTGTAATTTTAGAGGAAGTTGAACCTACACGTTAAACCAAAAATTAAGGCTATGGAAAGTAGAAAAGGGGTTTCCGGGAAGTCCGCACTTGCCTCACCTATTGAGCTTTATTTCGCCGCGTGGCTTGTAATTAATTACTATACCACGTTTACATTTCCTCAATTTATAAAGCCTTTTCTAGATGTGGAGGTCGGGGAAGGAGTGCAGTTGGTACCTGAAAATTAATATTTGCAAGTGGCAAGAAAAAAACATGAGGATGATGAAAGAGACCAACTTGAAGGACAATATTAATAATGTTACATGTAACTAAAGCTTATCGAGACTTTTCTTAGCATAGTGCCGAATATAGCGGCATCAAGTCCTCACAACGTTTTACCTTTTACAGTAGACTGAGACGTAGTTGCTGATTCGTTTTCCATCTCAAAGTCATAATACGTCATCAAGGAAAAAATTCCTTCCTCAAGATCTTCAGGAAAAAAGAAAATGAACAATTTAATTCATAATCACTTCAGTTTATTGAAAAAAAACTGAAAAAAGGGCAAATATTACAGTGTAACGACTTCAACCGGGGCCACCTAAGGACTTTCAGCCAATCAAAAACCGCTCCTTAAACAAAGAATTGGGCGTGCAGATCATCGGGAACTGGATTGGTTATAGTTTCCATCCTAAATTTTTCGCGGTTTAGAACGGTGTGTCGTATACACTTAGGGACTTATCCTAAAGTACAAGTTGGGGTCGGCTGAAAAAAGATGGGGGTGGGTCACTGTCTTCATGCACGCATAAAGGGGTGGGCTTAGGAAAAGCTGGCATCATTAAAGGGGTGGGGCATTTATGATATTTGCACTCGCTGTGCATCAAAAGGTGTCTTAAGAAAATATGGAAGCAAAACTGGGAAATTATTTATAAAAATAAATCGTAATTGTGTAGTTTAAGAAAATATGCATCAGGGACATCCAACTTTCTCGACTTACGGACTTTCACCTTCAAAAAGGCAACGCACGTTAACAAGTAAAAATTTAAATTTGATCACGAGGAAAAAAGAAAACAAGATTCTTGGTCTTTGATTGGCTCACGCTAGGAGTGAGCCATTCTAAAAGGCGAAAAATTTAGGATTGAAACTAACCAATCGAAGAATAGGACAGTTCTTGTTGAAGTCTGCACGCCCAATTCTTTGTTAAAGGAGCGGTTTTTGATTGACTGAAAGTCCCTAGGTGGCCCCGGTTGAAGTCGTCACAATGTAATGAAAAGAGGAAGCAGAAAAAAAAATCCCAAGATACTAACTTGCAACAAAAAATAGCAAATTGGAGGCTATTTTATTGCCTTACAAGTTTTCAGTAACCTTGAAAGTTCAAGGCCATAAACATTGACCTGGGTAAAAAAAATTAACAATCTTGATAATGTCAAGTTTTAAAGAGAAATTTATCAAGAAAAAGTATTTTCGAAAATTAGTAACAAATTAGTATAGGAGTAGTAAAAATAGCATAGCCAAAAAGAGCACCGTAGCATATTCAACTAAACATTGTGTCACTGAAAAGCGTCTGATGTATACTTTTAGGCGGCAAAGTCTCTGACCAGCTTAATCCAAGGAACGGCAACCAGCAACAGAAAAAATTGTTTACTAAACGTTAAATTTATCGACAAGATGAGGTTGGAAGCGGGTGCCCTAAAGATGGAAGAGGCTGGAACGCAAAAAGCAGCATTGCCTTGGAAAGAGAAATTTCGTGAGTTTACAAAATTCCTGAAGATGACCGAGGAGAACATGTCCCCGCTCGTTTACCTGACAGTCTTTCGTCCCTACCCGAAGAGCGGCTGTCTGCTCTAGGTTTTTGGGACGGCTGTTCCCTCTCTTTAGTAAGTTCTTCTGCCCATTTATCAAATGTCTGTTTCGCAGCAAATTTTACGCGACGATCATCATGAGGACCAAGTTCAAGACACCATTCTCCGTCATCCAACCAATGCCAGTGGCTTGCAGCCTTCAGTTCTGCCTGGAAATTAAACTTTTGGGGGCTTTCTGGATAGTTGTCATTCAAGTAGACATTAATGGCGTGCACCAGTATACTAAAGCTTATGAGTGACATTCCTCCTTGGCATCGAAAGGGTTCTGATTTAACCCAGGGTAAAGAGCTCAATTCGTCAATAATTATTTTTCTTGTTTCTTGTCCTCTTGAGCGTGTGGAACTCTTGGCAGCCTGTGATTACAAAGCACAGAAGGTTTTTTGTACACTGTACATCAAGGTTTCAATTTAACACCCAAAAAGGCTACACCTTATTAAGACGAGGAGAACGTTCCAACCAAGAGAGAATAAAGGTCCTTCGTCCTCTCTTGGTTCCAATCCTAGTCTTTTGCAGACTATAAGTCAAATAACTGGTCATAGATTTTTTTCCTACTACAGGAATGAAGAACTGTAATGTAATACTATGAAGAAAACGAAGCAGTTTCTTTCTTATGTTTTATCAGAACAGCGCCAAGGAACTAAAATTAAAGTGTATGTCCACTGAAGGTAAAACTAATGCAATTTCCAGGAAAGCAAAAGGCAATGTTGACATTTATGACCCAATTCAGTTTGTAAGAGCAACGGTTTCAAGCAACTGTGGAAACGCGAGAAAAAAAATCACGTTCTCTGAAACTTTTATCTACATCATATAATATACCCCATACCAGTTGATTCCTGGTAAAAACAAGCTAGGAGCCAAGTTAAAGCCACTGGAAAAACAAACTCCTCGCCTGACAGTTACAACCAGCTGCAAAAGTACTTGAGACATTGTACCGTAATTTGAGGGTTGTCCAATACTCACAAATAGACTCCATTGGTGTTAGTGGTGATAAGAAGGGTCTCCGTTGGTACCAATGGAAAAGCACCCTATTCCCATGGTTCTATTGGTGAATATGCATCTCATTAAGGGGACTTAGATTATTTTCTCATGTGGTCTAGCTGGGTACAGGGCAATTCCGATGGTTCATTGGTACCAATGGTACGATTGGTACCAATGGAAAAGCACCCTATTCTAGTGGTTCTATTGGTGAATATGCATGTCATTAAGAAGACTTAGATTATTTTCTGATGTGGTCTGGCTGGGTAGAGGGCAATTCCAATGGTCCATTGGTACCAATGGTACGATTGGTATCAATAGAAAAGCACCCTATTCCAATGGTTCTATTGGTGAATATGCATCTCATTAAAGGGACTTAGATTATTTTTTCCTGTGGTCTAGCTGGGTACAGGGCAATTCCGATGGTCCATTGGTACCAATGGTACGATTGGTACCAATGGAAAAGCACCCTATTCCAATGGTTCTATTGGTGAATATGCATGCCATTAAGGGGACTTATATTATTTTCTGATGTGGTCTGGCTGGGTACAGGGCAATTCCAATGGTCCATTGGTACCATCGTATGATTGGTACCAATGGAAAAGCAACCTATTCCAATGGTTCTATTGATGAATATGCATCTCATTAAGGGGACTTAGATTATTTTCTGATGTGGTCTGGCTGGGTACAGGGCAATTCCAATGGTCCATTGGTACCAATGGTACGATTGGTACCAATGGAAAAGCACCCTATTCCAGTGGTTCTGTTGGTGAATATGCATCTCATTAAGGGGACTTAGATTATTTTCTGATGTGGTCTAGCTGGGTACAGGGCAATTCCAATGGTCCATTGGTACCAATGGGAAGATTGGTTCCAATGGAAAAGCACCCTATTCTAATGGTTCTATTGGTAAATGTTCCTTTTTATTAAGGGGACTTAGATTATTTTCTGATGTGGTCTGGCTGGGTACAGGGCAATTTCAATGGTCCATTGGTACCAATGGTATGATTGGTACCAATAGAAAAGCACCTTATTCCAATGGTTCTATTGGTGAATATGCATCTCATTAAGGAGAGTTAGATTATTTTCTCATGTGGTCTTTGTGTAAAAGGCAACTTGTTTTGCGTGGTGTAAAAGCGAACTTGTTTTGCGTGGTTGGCTTAGAGAACGAGGAATATTTATAATCATTATTAGCACGTTTTTACTTGGTGTAAAAGCGAACTTGTTTTGCGTGATTGGCTTATAGAACGAGGAATATTCATAAGAATTATAGCGCGCTTTTACTTGGTGTAAAAGCGAACTTGTTTTGCGTGGTTGGCTTATAGAACGAGGAATATTCATAAGAATTATAGCGTGTTTCTACTTTGTGTGAAAGCGAACTTGTTTTGCGTGGTTGGCTTATAGAACGAGGAATATTCATAAGAATTATGGCGCGTTTTTAATTGGTGTAACAGCGAACTTGTTTTGTGTGGTTGGCTTATAGAACGAGGAATATTCATAATAATTATTAGCGCGTTTTTACTTGGTGTAAAAGCGAACTTGTTTTGGGTGGTTGGCTTATAGAACGAGGAATATTTATAATAATTATTAGCACATTTTTACTTGGTGTAAAAGCGAACTTGTTCTGCATGATTAGCTTATAGAACAAGGAATATTCGTAAAAAATTATAGCGCGCTTTTACTTGGTGTAAAAGCGAACTTGTTTTGCACCAATAGAACCATTAGAATGGCATCATTTTCCATTGGTACCAATCGTACCATTAGTACCAATGGACCCTCGGAATTGCCCTGTACACAGCCAGGTCACATGGGAAAATAATCTAAGTCCTTTTAATGAGATGCATATTCACCAACAGAACCATTGGAATAGGGTTCTTTTCCAGTGGTACCAATCATTCCATTGGTACCAATGGACCTAACCTTAACGGGACATGGGTCGATCTGGTGTACTCTTTTATTAGATTCAGGGGAATTACTGTACATATAAGTGGTTATCTTGGTGACCTTATCCCACGAAAAGGTAATCATGGTTAGCATGGATTGGTACCAATGGACCATTGGAATTGCCCTGTACCCAGCTAGACCACATGAGAAAATAATCTAAGTCCCCTTAATGAGATGCATATTCATCAACAGAACCATTGGAATGACATCCTTTCCTATTGGTACCAATCTTACTATTGGTACCAATGGACCATCAGTTTGACGAATCGTATCTGTTTGTGTATATTGGACATGTGTGAATGCAAGACCATGCTCAAAACTTGGAGGAACAACTTTGAATGAAAGGGAGGGGGGAGGTCAGTATTATATATCACAGACCTGTGACTAGCAGCGATTTGAAAGAAGAAAGATCGTTTTTTCGTCCGACTGTCTCAACAACATTTTTGCAACTGGTTGTAGCTCCATAAGCCACTTCTTTATTAGAGAACGTCATGGATAGTTTGCATCTAACTGAACTTAACACAGTTACTTTTCAACTACCTCATTTAAATGAATCATGCAAACTCCCTGAAACTTCGGATGATCTTCGACGACTAAGTTATCTGAGTTAGTAATCTCAGTTTGCCATAAACAAACATCTGGTTTTGTTCCTATGGTTTGTTGTCTTTTTCGATACCAGTCTTGGTGAAGTGGATAGTACAAATTCCGATTAGTGACTAGCCATACTGGAAACAAGATAAAATTATTAATACCTCCTTCCCGTTATCCTTCGGAGTGCCCGTCACTGTACGTGGCAGGAGTTTCAAGGGGCAGGGTGGCAAAGAGGCTTTCCGTAACGCGTGATGGGACCCAAATTATCAGTGCGATGGGTGATCGGGCCCAAATAAGTCGTGCGAGGCATGATTGGGCAAGTAGCATGATGCGTGACTAACTATTTTCACAAGGTGTGACGCATGATTTTCCTTTGAAATTTCTGTGATGGTTAATATCGTTTTAAACTAGAAGCAGAGACATAAAAATAGATAGTTATGACACCAAATTCTTGCCCTTTTTTCTCCTTCCTTGGCCTCTGATTTCCTCAGATCAAATGATAATATTTTGTTTTATTTTTCCGTGATACGTGGCAAAATCGGTGTGACACATGATAGGTACCCCCTTTGCCACCCTGAAGGGAAAGGGGAGATTAAGTCGCTTGTGAAATTATCTGGTTAAGGGAAGCCGTTAAGTATAGACGTGTGCCGTCGAGGCCTTCCCCTGTTTAAGACAAAAATTTGCCTCATTTCGCAACCCTGCTTGAGACAAGAGACTATTATTTTTATGACCCAATTCGTTTAGTTTTGCATAGAGAATAAGCTAACATCATAGAATGAGATTTTTTGGACAAAATGCTGTTTCCACAGATGCAGTCCACTCATCTTAGGTACATACGTATACCTGGGAAATAAAGAAGAAGCGTGGATGTGGACAGATAATGTTACTAAGAGTTGCAAATCTTACATTAAGACACAAAGAAAAGAATGGAAAGAGCAGCAAGTTCAACCCGTACCATATACAGAATTGTTATTTTAGGTGAATGACTTATGGTGGCATGGGAAATAGACTCGAAAGGACCATGAAAGGGTGGGAAATTTAAGGTTAAAGTTTAATTCAGGGTGTAGGTATGGATGAAGTTCTTAGATATAATGACAAAACTTCATTAAAGTAGATCATCATTAACAGAATACTTACTTACCTTCATCTGTGTTTACATCATCGTCAAATGTTGGACACTTTTCTGATCCAGCGCGATAAACTTTAAGCCTCTCATTTCTATCACATGACATCGCGTAGCTGTAACTCATGACTTTAAGAAAAAAAGTTTTGCCGCAATTAGTAATAGATTTGGCTAAAAGCAAAGCTCTCATTAATAAATTACTCATAATTTACTCACACAAAAAAGGTCATGTAATGCAATTCAGTGATGGCATCGAGAACAGCAAAAAAAATCAAGTGGTCTAATTAGCAAACAAACAATTTTTTTAACGCGCAGCACAAATTTTGTTTATAAAATAACTAAGATAGTATGTGCGCTCTGATTAGCTGAGAGGAGTGTTTGCATGAGAGTATGTAAACATAGTTGTGATGTCAAGATGTCTTGTTTTTTGCCTGCTAACCCCGCAAGCACAAATTTGAAAAAGTTTTTGAGTTCAAAACTCGACCAGTTTACTATATTTACCGATTCCTTCGTCAGCTGAAACTTGGAACATCTTTACAAACACACTGTGTCAATTTTGTTTTCGCTTAAGCTGACATTTTAAGCGAGAAAAATCCATATTTTGCGAAGCATCCTTTTGCAAAACAAGAACTGAGTATGTGTGCATGCCTTTGTGTACACTACTTTGTGACTGGTAAGAATTTCTCTTTTAATCAGTGCCATAACAAAGAGTTTTGCATTTTTCTCGGGAAAATTATTTTATAAAAGCAATAGAAAACTTTTTCCTGTGTTTGCATAGCCTGATATAAACAATCAAGGGGATGGGAGAATTCTCGACAATTATGCAAACCCGAGACACAGGCTATGCAAACACAGAAAACGTTTTCTATTGCTTAAATAGTACATTTCTTTGCCATTTCTTGTTGCGCAACTACAACGTGAAACTTTCTAGTTACACGTTTTATGGAGGAAATGTTGTATGTGCTTACAAAAACATTTGTTCCTTGGGTTCATGTTCCATTTTTTGACTGCCGCTCATTTGCAACTTGCTTGCCCCTAGAATTTCTCATTTTCTACCCGCCGATATAAAATTTTGGGGTTGCTTTTCAACTAAATTCATCTTCTTTGTTCTTTATCTCTTGCTCTCGTTCCCTGAATGTATGAATGAATGTCATTGATAAGGGGACAACAAGATGTTCTCTCTTTACATCTTAACAGTAAGCTCGGACTTAGCATCCAAGCCGCCACTGGCAGCGGCTATCAGTCTATTTATGAGCTTACTGTAACCCACATGAGGAGCTGGAGAGCACTGATCACATTAGCCCTGTGATTTACTGTTGTTATGCAAGAAGTCAATTTCTTCAAACGAAAAAAATAACCTCTAGCACCCCGGGCAGCGGCACTGCAGTACGTGACAGAAAAATATTTTTCAATTCAAATCAAAATGTCCCCTAAAAATCAAGTCCTGTCCTGTTGGTGTCGAAGACATGCAACAAAGGCGATAAAATTCACTAAATTCACTATGACGAAATGCAATGCCTCATCGTGCGTTTCCTGGTTTTTGAAGGAAAATTAATACAGTGCTCTAGTTAAAGTTTTTGTACCTTGAGATCCTCAAAACATCTTGTGTTGTGTATGGTCTAGCGGAGTTTGAAGAATTAATATTGCATCAGTTGGAGTCCACTTTGAAAGTATACATTAAAATCCTTGTTCATCCTTTGAAATTCTTATTTCATTTATACATTACAAGCTCTAAAATGCAAAGGAATAACAACTATTAAAACAGCAGCTGACCAAGAGTATTTGTGTAATTTAGAAAGGGTCGCTCCATGACCTGTCAAAATTCTTGTGTGCTCAATTGCACAGCATGAGCTTTAGTGCAGGAGTATCACCTGTATTACCCAAAAAATTGGAGCAATATTTATTTGATATGAACATCCCGTAATTTATCGGGTGTATTTCAATATGAATACAGTTACCACGTGTTGTTTGTTTTTACTGCAGTTTTAGCTTAAGTTGATTTTTTTTAAAGCCCGATCTCTTGCTCAAGTAAAAAACACAAAGCCCGTCACCACGGAAAGAAAAATTTCCAAAGCCCCTTCGGTTTTTTCCCGACCCAGTCATTGCCATAAATAATGAACCGACCCTAAGCGGCATCTACAAAAAGACAAGTAAGAAAATCTGTGTTCTAGCCTGCATGCAACTATAAAACTAAGTAATTTTAATGTACAAAGTTAATCATTCACTAGCTCCGGAACATATCAGTAATATTTTCTATAACTACTAAGAAGTTCTCATTGAGAAGGATAGTGCTGCTGTTAGTTTCGATGCTAATAGGCCAAGATAGTATGTAGAACAGTTGAACATGAATTTTATTAAAGTTAATAACTTAGACTTGTTGGAATTATGAAACACTCGAAGCGAAATATAAAAAATGAACTGATCACAATGACAGATATGCTTACATATTCAGATAACTCGCTAAAGTTTCAATATGATTTTGTAATTCATTTAACAATTCACTAAATTCTAAAACGACAGCAGCGCTGATAGGCTGTTTCTTCATAGAACAATCGTCGTACACATGACGAGAAGAGTTGCGAATAAATAACGTAAAGGCCAAAACTTGTTTATTCACAGGTTAGGTAGACGTACAGCACATGCCGTTCACTTATGTAACTTTATACAATCCTGATTCCCTAGATAACAATCTGGGCCCAGTTGCTCGAAGCATGGTTAGCGTTAACCAGCGTTTAATACCTTGACAACGTATTGGTTTTGATACTGCTTAACCAATGGTTAAAGCTAACCTTGCTTTGAGCAACTCAGCCCTGTGTGACAAAAGAATACTTGCTATAACTAATCTTGAAACCGAGAATAAAACAAATTAACCGAAAAAAAAAATGTCCTGTACAATACTTTTTGAACTGCTCTTACCGTTTAGGCCGTTTAAAGAGACAGCAAACATCCGATGGACTACGATTTCCGCACAGATCTTACCTACTTACATAGGAGCAACCCGCCATTTTGTTTTGTTCTCAAATAGGCGCGGCAGCTAAGCACTTTTAAAAACAAACCGCTGACTGCACAGCGCCGCAGTCACAGATTGCTTTGAACCATCGAATCGCTCAGTCTGCTGCCGGCTGATGCCTGGCAGCAAAAACTGGGCTATTTCAGTTTTGAACGATTCCAGAGAAGAAGAATTAAGAGTTCGTAAATTATGCTCTCTCCCTTTTAAACAATTTTTATTGCGACATTCTCCATCTGTATAGTATTGTGATTGCTACATAAGTTCAGTAACATCTGTAAACCTGAAGAAGGCTGGTACAGTAAGTGGTCTTGGTCCGCGTAAGTCCCCCATGCCCTTGGTCCGCGTCTTTTCCGAAAATGATAAAATATTTCGTCAAGAAAAAAAATACGTTGAATAATGAAAGATATCGTGATTTACTGATTAGCATTCTTCCATATGACGAAGTTTCAGCCTTCTTGCTGCGGATGAAGATGCGAAATTAAAGTTTGTTGACAGGTAGGTTAATTTGTCTTTCTTGAAGTTTTGATTTTTGCGGCACCGTAAATTACGTGGTCATGTTTACTTAGCCTACGAATAACTAAAACGCAACGGGAAGACTTGCCTTTTTGCAGAACAGGTTTTTAGATCAACTTATTTCTGCTGATGGAAGCATATTGCTGTAGACTCTAAATTTTTTGCTTTAGCGACTCTTGAAAAATATCACCAAATTTCGCTTAGCGGTCCTTGGTCCGCGTCCTATGACCTTGGTTGAATAAAACGTCCCAAAGTAAAAAGCGACGGCCTTTGTTTTCGAAGAATGTTTTGAAAGTCGTCCCTATACATTTCTACAAGTTCTCTTTTTTAATACCTCGAGTACATACAGAGTTTTTGGTACAGTATGTTGCCCAGTATCCGGACACTTGAAACAAAAACTCAATTTTTGAGGCGCCCTTTTCAGTTTTCGGTAAACGAAGTATTTCGAATGAAAGCTGAACATTTCAGATTTAAGATGAGAGTTTTGGC